TTGGAGAGGAGCAGATGGCTCGGGAAGAAATTTAATGATGTACAACGAGAGCTTCAAGTTCGTAAGAGCTGGGAGTTCTTCAAGTGTTTTCCTCACTTTTCGGGTCGCTATGGTGATGTGCTGATTGATGAGGAGAAACCCAGAAGTAATCGGACTGTTCTCGACGTTGGTTGTTTCCGCTGGTTAGTGAACATCCGTGTTGGGTATCTCGTTCTCCGGGTGAAGAACCGTTGCCACATAGAGCCTTACCTTCCCTGTCGTTTTGCTCGTCAGTTCGGCTATGACCAACTATATGTTGGGAATCCGAGCCATGGTTTGAAGGTTGAGGGAGGGCTTATTGATGGCGTACGAGCATGGTTATGGACTATGGTGGGCTGCACCGGAGCCCACTTTGCTCTTCCTTCATATAGACGCCAGCCGATAATTACTTTCCTCAGTTGCAAGTGGTTCCTTTCCGCCAATGAATCCATAGGTGTGAAGAGTCTTTCAGAGTTACAGTCTGAGCACTCGGTCCAGATCGCTATGATGGCTGCTCGTAAAGCCGAGCTTGCTCGGAAACAGAGGAAGAGGCATGCCAAACCTTCTTTCTCGAACAAAGATGATGAAGAGCTCCTTCCTACTGATGATGATGACGAGACTTCTGCGGAGGAATATGTGGATACAGATACTGACAAAGAAGAACTTGATGCAGGTTTGTCATGCTCTTTGATCTTCTTTCTCAATTTCAATTGGTATCAACGAAAGATCTTGTTCACTTAATGAAATGACCCTTATCACTTCAGGTAGGACAGTCGACGATCATGAGTCGCTTGCTTCTCGTTGTGCGAGATTCGGGCCTAGCGGCCAAGCTCCCACGCATGTTGAGACGCGTGGCAAGTCCATGCATGAGCGACCCGTTGGTTTTATGAGGGCTGGTACTCCGAAGAAGAAGAAGACTGCTCATAAACCACACGTCGGCCAGCGTCCCTATGGAGTGGATTTAGGAGACATCGCCGATGGAGAGGAAGGTAACATTTCGTCGTTTTCATTGCTTTAAGATGTCTCACCTTCTGGGATTCGTAATCATGTTTTATGTTCCAGGGTACTATGACGAGGGCGAGCTTCCACCGGACCCCGTATCCCCTGATAATATGGATAACTTCATGCAGCAAATGTGTGACGCCATTCGGGATGGTTCCCTGGGTATTGATACGAACCTTGACACCGCGCAGGCTAATAGTGTCAAGCCCACCACTATATGTCCAGGTATATCTAAATTCGATGATGCCCTCATCGAGTAGCATTTGGCGGAGTTAGAGAAATCAGGATTCATTATTTTTTGTGCCTCGCATTCTTTCAGATTTCTTGAAGAACTCAAGCATGGATATTGGGGAACAAGGATCCTATGTTCCTGCTGCAGGTATTTCTGAGCTTTTCCTTCTTTCCCATCTTCTCGTATATATATCCAACACTTAAATTATTCTGCAGATGTCGTGATAGAAAAGCCAGTTGAGGATGAGGCCTTTCATGATGTAGGTTTCGGGTATGCCTCCGCACCAAGTTTCCCGGGACCTGACATTGGATTATTTGCTAACATGTTGGCTGAACAAGCCACCAGAGGAACTGTGGGAACACCCTTTGAGAGTGATTCATTCACAGGTATATATCTGATTCCCTTCATTTTTCCTGATCTTTTGTTTGACTAACGAAGGATTAATATTACAGTGCCAGTCATTGGGACTGATTCCGTAAGACTCCCCAGCACATCTAGTTTACCCCAGAGTGACGGACTCGCAGGTATGCAGACGACCTTTGGATGTCGTGTTCCCTTTCATTTATCTGATTTTTTTTGACTAATAGAGGGGTGTAATCATAGGACCAGCCACTGGGACTGATACCTTTATGACTTCTGGCATCCCTCTTGCATCTGAGGACGAGGGGCTTGCAGGTATGCATACGATCTTATCATCCCGATTTTCCTTATTTGTCCAAATTTTCATTTTGACTAATAAAGACATGTAACTCTAGGACCAGCCGTTGTGCCTGATGCCACTACAGTTTCTGGGACTGATAGTTTGCCTGAGAGCGGTGGAGAGGTATGACTGATTTGCCTACAGGGGTTGATATACCCTCCATGACTACTCCTGCAGTTATTTCGGAACCTGTCGGATCTCAGCCTGAGGGGACCTCCGTTGGCATTGGTATGCTCGGAATTTGCCTTTAAATTTTCTTATCGTATTCGATAATCTCTTAGCTTTCCACACTGTTTCTTGTAGGATCTCGATCATCTCTATATGAGCGTGTCCGCGCCCTCTTGGCTGATACCGATCCCGACAAAGACATTTTTCGTACAGACCTCGGCCTTTTTACCGTCTTTTATAACGGCATGATCGAGAAACTTCTTCATCGAGGATATGGTTTCGATCAGTTCAGGCGTTCCTTTTCTCGTCACATGCCGATGTTCAGAGAAGAAGGGTATCCAGAGTTGGCCGATTTCTTCACCGCCGATTTTGCTGTTCTGGAGTCGGAGATCCGAGAGTTGAAGGAGCTGAAGGCTAATGGGGTTTCTTCCTTCGTGTCCTCTCAGATGGAGCATAGGCTGGCACAGTGGCGCAACCTGAGATCTTCCATCGGCAGTGAGCTTCAGTCGCATGAGCGTTCAGTTGCGCAGCTGATGGCTACCGTGGCGAGGAAGGATACAGATAGAGCCGAGCTACTCCGCTCTTTGGATTCCGGCCGCGAGGAAGTGGCTAGGTTGAAGGAGGCCTTGAAGCACGCCGAGGAGTCCATTACTATCATTGCAGAAGACCTGGCTGGAGTAGAGCATTCTCGTGGACAGGCCCTCGAGAAGCTAGGATCTACACAGGAGAGATTGATGAAGCTGAAGAATGAAGCCGCGGAGATCTTAAGCAGTTCCGAAGACTCTGTCCGAGCTAGTCTGCAGGCAGAACTTGAGCAGAGCTATGTAGACAGGCTTTCTAGTTTAGAGTCCCATGTTCTTAGCCGTCAGTTGCCTCTGCCTTCGGGCTAATGAGCTTTTTATTGTATGCTTTGACTTTATCTATTAATAGAGACTCCGCATTTGATTCAGTTATGATATTTCTTTATTTATTTTGAACTCAGCAATGCTAAGATTTACAGGATTTTTGGCAAATCCCCAGCCATCAACGGGTTTGATATGTCTTTACCGATTACCGTTTGAATCGGACTAGCATGTGAATTATTAAAACTCGTCTCACATGTAACGTTGTGCTAAGAAAATCGCTTTTCTTAGACTTGATGCTATGATTTTGAATACATAGGCTTAACCATTTCTTATAGGGAAAAGGTACCCCGCGCCGCGTATTAGACGACGACTTATCCCTTCTTAGGCTTCGGGATAAAATTCCCCAGGTTTAGACCCTGGTGTCTTTTTCAATCGGCGAAAGACTAAACCGGCAATGTGTGTTAGACATAGACTTTGGGATTTTTGGCAAACCCCCAGCCTTCAACGGGTTTGATGTGCCTTTACCGATTACCGTTTGAATCGGGCTAGCATGCGGATTGTCTAAATCCGTTCCGCATGTAACGTTGTGCTAAGAGAGTGAATTCTCTAAGACTTTGTGCTATGACGTCGAATACATAGGCTTCGCCTTTGTTACGGGAACAGGCTACCCGACAACACGTGTTAGGTGTTGACTCGTCCCTACTTAGACTTCGGGATAAAATTCCCCAAGTTTAGACCTTGGTGTCTTTTTCAATCGGTGAAAGACTAAACCGGCGACGCGTGTTAGGCGTAGACTTATCTCTATTTAGGAGTTGAGATAAAATTCCCCGTGCACAAAGTGCACGGATTGGAAGTTGGGAATTGTGTCCTTTATCAGAATAAAGACGGATTGGGAAACGGGAGAGGAAGAATTTTATATTCTATCTCCCGGGACTGAAGAGGAAGAATTTTATATTCTATCTACAGTCGGAAAGGAGACTCAAGGTGGGATCTCCACCCCAGAATCCGAAAAGATGAAACTAAGAGTGGGGTCTCCACTCCGAGAATCGGAAAAGTTCAAACGGCCCTAACTTTTATAGGATTGGTCATTTGAATCAAAAGAATCCCTCATTTATTGAGGGGGAAGCCCAATTTCGACCCTAACTTTTATAGGTTTGGTGGAAAAAGGAACAAAGGTGGATTTTCGTTTATCAAAAAGGAATGACTCAGTCTTAGTCCCAACTATTTGTAGGCTTGACTAAGTGAGATCGGGAACAATCCTAACTTTTATAGGTTTGATTGTCCGAAATGATAGTGGACCTCTCGTTCATGGAAGGAATCGAGAGAGGAATTTGGCTTTGGCCCTAACTTTTATAGGTTTGACCTGAAAGCAAAGAAAGTGGAATACAGGTAGCAAAAAAAGTACCAACTCGTATAATCACTCAAAGGAAGACTTTAACGCTAGGTGATTAGGACCTAACATGTTGAGTCTGAGAAATGCCAATGACTGGCAGATGGAAATGTTGGTGGATCCACTGTCAATTGGTTTGATCAGCAGATGGTTTGGTGAGGAAAGATTAACCTATCAGAGGATTGGATCTCATCTCACACAAATAACTCATAAGAGTTAGAGAATTTGACAATAAGAAGAAACATTCCGACATTCAGAGTTTGAACGTGAATTTCTTATTCATCACTTCTACAGTGACTGGGTTATCCCTAAGAACACCCCATGTGGTATTCTTCTGGGAACTTCCCGATACATTATTTATCCTGAAGATACTAAGGATAGTATTTTTTTCAGGAACTTGCCGTTTATCAGCATCATAAGCCAGTCGCCGTCCTTGGTGACTAGGCGATATGCGCCACTCGAGTAGACTGTCTCTACTACGAATGGTCCCTCCCATTTGGGTTCAAATTTGCCCTTCTTCTTGGAATTAAGGATCATAGGCCGCCTCTCAGCTAGAACCAAATCCCCTTCTTTGAAGCTTCGTTGTCGAACCTTTTTGTCGAAAGCTCGAGAGATTCTGGCTTGGTAGAATTCGATATGTTGTTGAGCTTTTAAACGCTTCTCATCTAGCCTTTCAAGTTCTTCAAGGCGCTTCTGATGTTGCTCTTCGGTCGTCATTTGAGTCGCGAGAGCAATTCGAAGCGACGGGATTTGAATCTCCAATGGAAGAACAGCTTCATATCCGTATACCAGTGAATACGGGGTTGCTCCCGTTGGTGTACGCACCGTGGTCCGATAGGCCCATAGAGCCGCGCCAAGCTTGTCATCCCAGTCTCGTTTATTAGTTTTCACGAGTTTTGATAAAATCTTTATGATAGTCTTATTGAAGGCTTCGGCCAGTCCATTCGCTGTGGGATTGTAAACTGTCGAAGAGATGTCCTAAATTTTAAACTTTTCGCAAAACCTGATGAAGGCGTTGCTGACGAATTGAGGACCATTGTCATGTACGATTCGTCTTGGTACACCATGCCGGTAGATGATATGGTGCATGATGAATGCAATGACATTGCTTGTTTTAACTTCTCTGAGTGGAACTGCCTCAGCCCATTTGGAGAAGTAGTCGGTAATCGCTAGTATGAACCGGTCACCTTTGACTGACGGGGGATTTATAGGACCAACAATGTCCATTCCCCATGTCTCAAACGGCCATGACGTAACCGAAGGATGCAGATGCTCTGAAGGTTGGTGCATATAATTCGCATGTATTTGACATGCGTCACACTTTCGGGCATACGCGATTGCATCACTCATCATGAAAGGCCAAAAATACCCCATTCTTCTGATGTGGTCATAAAGTTTGGGACCAGGTTGGTGTGCACCACACTCTCCTTCATGTGCTTCTCTAAGGACTTCCTTAGCTTCTTTAGTTGATAAGCAGCGTGCCAGCAATCCATCGTACCCCCTGCGGTATAGCGTTCGATTCTCCGTATTATAGTAGAATCTTGGTGCCCTTCGTCGAATTGACTCTCTTTCTTTTACGTCTTCCGGTAGTATTCCGTGCAGGACGTAATCGATGATGGGGAAACACCAATCTCGGGGTTCAAACTCAATTTGGGTTGAGTGTGTTTCCTTAATCTCTTCTTCTTCGTCCTCTTCATCATAGATCGGTACTAGGAGTTGGTGGGTCCTTACCGTAACGAACTGTTCTGTTTGAGGAGGCTGCGCCAGTGATACAGCTAATGCTGCTAACGCGTCTGCGTAGGTATTCTGTAGCCGTGGAATATGTTCGATAAAGAATCATTCGAATGATTCTGCCATTTCCACTGCCATCTTATGGTATGGTATTAAATCTTGGCTTCGGACCTCGTACTCTCCCTGAACTTGTTTAACTATCAGTTGAGAATCGCCGAAGGCTTCGAGATACTCAACCCCCAGCTCCTTAGCGAAGTTGAGTCCAATGAGTAAGGCATTATACTCTGCCACATTATTCGAGCATGGCTCGGTTAGCGAGTAGGCGCGAGGCATCACATGTTTTCCTGGGGAAACTAAAACTACTCCAACTCCGGAGGAGATTTTAGAACTTCCAGGAGCACTTGCAACATTAGTTGCTCGCGAAGCGCCATCGAAGTATAAGCGCCATATTTGTTGGTGAGAAGTTGCGTTGACTTCGTGGGCCTCATCGGGTAGATCGTCATATATCTCGGCAGGATCCGTAGTTGGATTAGCTGCGAGGAGATCGCATATGGCCTGTCCTTTGACCGACTTCTGTTGCTTGAAATGCAAGTCGTATTGGGACAAGAGTAAGGCCCATTTCGCTAATCGCCAGCTCATGGAAGCGGGTTGACAAGTAATGCACTTAATGAGTGGCTCGTCGCCTTGACATAAATCAAGAACGGTTTGCCCGATTTCGGTGCGACGAGTACGGGAGGTTTTGAGAGATATTCTTTAATACTCCCGAATGCCTTTTGACAAGCGTCATCCTATACAAATGACACGCCCTTGTAATCCTCTGAGAATGGTTGGCATTTTCCTGAGAGGTTCGAGATGAACCGACGGATATAAGCTAACCGCCCTTGTAATCCTCTGAGCTCCTTGAGATTTCTTGGAGGTTGAAATTCATTAATTGCCTTTACCTTATCAGGGTCGATGTGAATACCTTTGGTAGTGACGACAAATCCCAGGAATTTACCACTGGACATTCCGAGGAAAGACTTGGTAGGATTCATTTTCAATTGATGGGCTCGCATCAGGTCGAACATGGTCTTCAAGTCTTTAATGTGATCTTTCTTATCACGACTTTTCACGACCAAATCATCCACATAGCATTCGACAGTCTTCCGGAGATGCTCCTGAAAAATCTTCGACATGGCTCTCTGGTATGTGGCACCTGCGTTTTTTAAACCGAAGGGCATGACCGTGTAGCAGAAAACGCCAAGGGGTGTTCTAAACACGGTATGCTTTTCATCATCTGGATGCATCTTTATTTGGTTATAACCAGAGAAACCATCCATGAAAGACATCCTTTCGAACCCGCACGTATTGTCGATGATGACATCTGTGATGGGAAGGGGAAAATCGTCTTTTGGGCAAGCAGCGTTGAGATCCCGAAAGTCGATACAAATCCTGACCTTCCCGTTCTTCTTAAGGACTGGGACAATATTGGCAAGCCACTCTGGATGTTTCTCTTCCCTAACGAAGCCCGAGTCAATAAGCTTTTTAACTTCGGTCTCGATTGCTTCCATCATCTGCGGACGAAACCGTCTTTGTTGTTGTTTGATAGCTTTGACATCCGTCTTGATATTGAGACGATGCACTGCTACGTTTGGGTCAAGTCCTGGTATATCTTCGTAATTCCAGGCAAACACATCGATGTACTCCCTGATAAGAGAGATTAACTCTTCTTTCTCTTCCGGTGGGAGGCTGTCGCTAATGAATATAGGTTTCGGATTATCTTCGCTACCCATATTCACCTGAAGTACTTGATCTTCGGTAGGAGGCTCCCTTTGCTCAAACCTGTCGCCGTACTGCATGTTTAGGTGATGGACCCAAGGGTCTTCCCAAGTCGGCATTTGATCATCTTCTTCTGTTGTCGTAGGGTCAACC